TGTATATATGTGTATATACATATACATATATCATGTATGGTTATATTAACTCTGACGCTACACCGCCCGCCTCGGCCAGATTGTGGTGGCAGCATGTGTCTCTGCGTCTTCAGTTCAGGGACTGAGTGGCGAAATCGGACCCGAAAAGCAGGTGTGACTGGACTTTTGGGCTGCAGGGAGGCGGATTAGGTGGTGCGGGCTAAGTGTCGGATTCATGTTGTTTGTGTGTGTTTAACTGTTTGGGATAGCCCATGCGAGCCAAGAGGGAGACTTGTTAGAAGCAGTATCAGTACCGGAGTCATTTTAACGGAGCAACACTCTGACATAGTCCACTCTGTTTCGATTGCTGAACGACCCTTCTGCGAACATAGTGTTGAGTTTGTATTGTATAGTGTGTCTTATGAACGATATATGACATATTGTATGCGATAAAGGTTATTTGTTATACATACACACATAGATATATTCTCTTTTCCTCATTACATCACGGATTTGAGTTTATGTTCTCATATGTTCGTACTTTGTATTATATGTTGCATTTATTATAACATATGTGTGGGTACATGTCTGCATACTTTTTGTGATTGTTAGGTGCTATGCGTCAAGTCCAGTATTTTTATACTATGCAGTATACATTCTACATTATGCATGGCATACATAATATGTATATTATGCACTTTTTTGTATGGTTTGTATAACTTGTTTTTGATAGTATACATACCTTGTGTTGCATAACAAAAATGCGCATTCATTTTCTAGTGTCGCTTTTGGTCGTGTATTTTATCATATCGTATGCGGTTGTATCTACATCTTATCATATATTGCAGAGCATGATGTTGTATCAGCTCATTTTTCGCCATATCAAGTCAAATTACAGTATATTTCATATTGTAAGATATCATGTTTTCGTATGTCTGATGTTTTTCTAGTTAGAAATGTTTTCCATTCTATTCTGTTCGATTCTATCATAATATACCATAGCACGTCCTATTACATCATACCATATGGTATCATATCATATGTTAGATATGAAGATACATTATTGCTAAACATGTGTTCTTCACAATCATGTATATGTGTATATGGGTATATGTATATATGTATATATGTATACACGTATGTATGTGTATATATATATACATATATATAGTTGCCTCCCCCCAAGGATCCACCGTTTGCGATGGTTGTTGAACCAACAGCAGCCGATGCAGAAACCTGCTATACGAGCCAAACGAAGCATGTGCGAAAAATGCAGCAAGCGAGTCAAACGAGTGTACTATGTGCTGTGTGCGATTTCGGTTTGTTCTCATACGCGCAGATTCCGGCAAGCAACTTATAGTACTATGTATATTGGTATCCATTAGTATAAGTCTTGATAGCAATACTAATATGAATGGGATTATCGTATCAGCCTTAGTAATCGTGCTAATGTTAGTATTCATACTAGTATTGAAAGAACTTTATCTATTGACATAAGTATTGAGACTGCTTAACAAAAATATGAATATTATATGTAAGAATATCGATACTATACATAGATTAGTAGTAGTATTGGTATTAGTATTAGCATCAGTATGTATATTGGTATTAAGAGTACTAGTGAACATGACTATCAGTTTTCGTAGGAACACTAGTAATCATAGTGCTAAGTGACTAATATTGCTATGAGTAGTAGTATTCGTGAGAGTACCAGTGTTAATGTTAAAATCTGTTAGTCGAAGTATTAGTACCATTTTTACTATTAGTGTTAAGCTTAACACTAAGATGACTATGAATATGTTTGTTCGTAGGAATATTATTAATCTTAATGTAAATATCACTAAGAATTAATATACGAATATACATACTAAACATAACAAAACGAATGCGAGTATTATATATTTGTATGTTGCATGCTAAGACTATGAATATTAATATTAGCAGGAGGAAAACTTATATCCATATATGTACTCGTATTGATCTTAGCAGCGTATGTATATTAACATGAGTACGGATATTATTAATGGTAAGACTATGATTGTTAGTGTTTGTAGATCTACTAAGTTTTATTGCATGTTGGTATGTTCGTATATTGTCATAGTTTGTATAGTGGTATATTGGTACATCGGTATATGAAAACCTTGAGTTTTTCGTACATTGTTGCGCATGTGTTGGTATTTCATTTTAGTAGTAGTTATATTAGTATAAGTATATGTGTATGGGTTTTTTCAGTTAGGTTTTTCGACAAAGCTTCCCCAAACCCCAAACCCCAATCCTCGAACCCCCAAACCCTAACCCTCGGTCCTGGAAGACAACCGTTGCAACGCCGTTGTCGATGGCGCGTACCTGAAGCCAGAAAATGGTGGATCCATGGGGGGGGGGGGACACCATATATTTGTATTCATGTTAAAGCTTGTTCATATATCTATGTATATTGTACTACATGTTGTGTTTTGTTTGTCTGTCGGCTTTCTGTTTGATGCATTTTTCAGTTGTATTAAGCCATATCATTTTTCAGTTGTATTAAGCCATATCATATGAAAACATATCATATTGTGTTCGTTGTGTATATGTTATCTGGCTTTTTCCAAAAAACATTCGCTGTGTAAGCTAAAGTTCGCTTGTGTATCATGTTGCTTCGAGCCCAAGTGCACGTAAAGAGTTGTGGATCCGAAGCACAGGAGTTCAGAGCCTTTTGAAATTCGGGTAGGTTCAGGGAGCTGTCTTGTCAAGAGACGCGCATGTACTGGCTGATGGGACAGTATATTCCAACAAAAACATCCACCCTTTTGGGAGTTTTCTGGACGTCTACTGGTCCTTGTTGCTGAGGTGATCGTGTCCATTGACGGCCATCCCCTGTTGGATGCGAGCCGCCAGATCACGTTTTGGATGCAGGAACGTTGAACCATGTAAGTGGTGTTCAGCCAAGGCGAGGAAGAGCTGGCAGAAACCTTTCAGCGGTGCTGCCGCGACGGTGCCCGGCTGCTGCTTATAGACGACTCGGAACTCCAGGAGGCACCAAGCGCTGTGCAGAGCGATTTTGTCCGTCTCAGCGAGGGGCTCATGTCGACTGTGGTGGGTGACGGAGTCTGCGAGTGGGTCTGCGAACAACATGCCATGCTGAAGATGTTTTGCTCGTGAGGCGATGCTATTTGGCTGCGTGCTCGGGGTGAACCTAGCATAGTTCGTGTCAGGTAGTGGCTCATGTGGTTTCTGCGGCGGGACATTCGTGTTTGCATGCCGTTTGAATAGGTGTTGGACAAACGATCCAAACTCTTGGATCGAAGCTGAAATGATTCACCAAGGGCAGCGCATGCGGACGCTTTAGCGCTCTAACCCGAGCCTGCTTCCATTGCACTGTTTCATCTGCTGTGGCTGCAGAACAGCACCTGCAGGCCAAGCAAAGTTTGGAGGCACACATGCAGCAAGTGCCTCTGGACAGTGCCGCGGCGTGAATTTGGGTCTCCGCTGCCTCGTTACAACAAAAAGCACAAAAGCACAACGACTGAGAAGTGCTTCCCGGAAATCGCTGACCACCGGTGCTTTTGGTAGAGTCCACCAGTATCGTAAGTAGCGGGACCAAAACCACAGCAACAGCTAGTAGTGCACCACCACTGCCGCTGCTGCTGGTCGACCACTACCACTACCACTGCCACTGCCAGTGCTGCTAGTAAAGTAGTTATTGGTAGGATCAGGAGTAGAAGCAGTAGTAGCAGCAGTAGTAGTAGTAGTAGTAGTAGTAGTAGCAGTAGTAGTAGTAGTAGTAGTAGTAGTAGTAGTAGTAGTAGTACCACTACTACGACGAGTACTAGTAGTACTGCTACTACTACTGCTACTACGAGCACTAGTACCAGTGCAGATTTGTACAAGCCTGTACATGCCCGAGCTGCATCAGTACTGCTGCCACCGGACGCGCTGGCCAATCTTGAAAGCGTCCGTACCCCAGCTTTCCATCGACTAACTTCCTTTGTATATAGCTTGCCTTTGAACCTCTTCGCTTTGCTCAACACAAGTTCAGAATCAAAGTGCAGCATTCATGTTGCTGGGGATATTCGTGCTGCTTGTGATGCTTCTGAAGAGGTGTCATGGCACAATGAAACAGCTTGGCTCCGATGCCAAGCGGAATAAATATACGAGCCGCAAGTAGAGTGGCAAGAGAGTGCTAAGCATACCCCACACCCCCCAAACTGTGCGGACTTCAGGACCTGGTCCAGCTAAGTGGATGGTTCGGCGTCCAGGCAGAAGTGTTTCACGTCGGTACAGAGCTGAAGGTGAATCTGACGGGAACCCGGGCAAGCGTCGCAAACGCACGCCTTGAGCTAGAGCAGATCCTGCAGTACTATGCACAAGCTGGCAGTGCATCAGGCTGAAAGACAGTTTGCCACAGTTTGCGACGTATCCATGTCTTGTTCACCCAGTGAAGATGCGGCTGCGACGGTGCTCGAGCAAACATGTCGACGACCTGGAAGTAAAGCTTCCGATGTACAGAGTGGATGATGGCATGTGCTCGGTTTCTGCCACTCTTGCACCTTGTTCTGCTGATTATTGCTGATGGAGACAAAGATCACCAGCATACTCACTGGATATTCGGAGGTGGAAATTTATGGATTGTCTGCCGATTAGATGATTTGTCGCGCCTGCTGAAGACACTGTGCACTGAGCGTGGGACGCAGCCACTCTCGTCAAACTTCAGGCAGAGAAGACAGCTGGCTGCAGAGACCGCCGAGGGAGCAGAGTGGATCCGGTCGCCCATGGCGGTTTGCGAAGCAGGATACTTTTTCATATTGACAGAAGTGCGCTCGAGCGAGCATTGTCGTGTTGCTCGAGTCAGCCAGGCACCTTGGATCCATGCTGGACCGCTATGCGGAGACCCGGGCAGCAAGCGAGTGTATGTGAATCACTGCCAGGTTCTTGTGCACGTCCAGAGTAGACATGAAACTGATTTGAGATCCCGACATCCTTGGAGCCGAGGAGGAGCTGGGTTATGTGTGCTACTTCTGCTCAGAGCGGCATCTCAGCCCAAGCAGCTACGGTGCTAGTTAGGAGGCTGGATTGCATGGCCACACAAACCGGAAGCTTGACGTGAGGTTTGCTGCTGCGGCGGCGAACACTCGATGCCACCGTCCGAGCCGGTAATGAAAACTTGCAACATGCAATACATATGGCAGACCACGTGGTACACACGTGCACGCATGGCAGTGTGTCCTCCTGCACTTCTGCGACTTTGTGTGAAGGTGCATGGAACCAGCCTACCTCCCCCTCCGGTAGAGCCTTGTCTCCGGACAGACGGGTACCACAGCATCTGTCTGGTTCAGGCATTGCAGGGCTTCTGCAGTCCACAGTTGACTGAGCTTCCCCGGTGCAGGCGCGCACTTCTGGGTGCCTTTGCCATCGCCTTCAAGTGCTGCAGCAGCAGCTGCTGTTGCAGGTACTGCGCCAGGCAAGCTGTCTTCAAGTCCGCTACGGCAAGTTTCCCTTGCGTCAGTCGCCTTTGCAGATTTCCGTGAGCACCATGCCTTCCACCAGCACTGGGCCAGCGCGCAGGTGCCACAGTATACTCAGTATACTTTAAACTCTAAATTTACTGGAGGCATCTGAATTTCCAGCCTTTGATCTTGGCAAGGTACCGCCGCCGCCGCCACCGCCACCGTGGGTCGAGTTTCCGGAGGCAAGACTCAGAGGAATGTAGCTAACATTAGTCATGGGGATCACTTTGCTGTCGTCAAGTGCCGAGGCTTGGGCCCCACCTCCTCCGCAGGCCCATTTGCATGTGTCCGCATGTGTCCGCTGGCAGATACGAGCGCACAGCTTCAGCCGCACGCCGTGCAGTATCACGGAAATCGCTAGACAGCCAGGCTTCGAGGAGATCCAACAGCGAGATGATTGAGACGGGTCGTTGTGTGTCATGTTCACGCGCACAGGTGAGTTCAGGCTCACGTGCAGCATCTCCAAGTGCCACAAGGTTGGACGGAGGATGACCGAGGTAAGGTTCAAGAGATTTCTGTTGCAGCAGTGCCGAAGGTACGGAGGACAGTCGTTTGCGGGGCCCACGGCACCGAGGCCCTTTGGATGATGGGAGGGAGAAAATGTCAACGTTTGTAGAGTGGGCAAACGACCCTGCCAAACCCTACTACTACTACTACTACTACTACTACTGCTACTACTACTACTACTACTACTACTACTCCTACTCCTACTCCTACTCCTACTCCTACTCCTACTCCTACTCCTACTACACCTACTACACCTACTACTCCTCCTACTACTCCTACTACTCCTACTACTACTACTACTACTACTACTACTACTACTAAAACAACACAAACAACAACAAAAAACAACAACAACAACAACAACAACAACAACAACAACAACAACAACAACAACAACAACAACATTTCATTCGCACGCAGCGGGAGACGATAACCTGGGGTGAAAAGCTTCATCGCTTTGCGAGTGTTCGACCTATGTTACTCTACTGACGTTGTTCGATGCGGGCCCGTCTCAGCCGCGTTGCTGACCGTGCCTCAGCACT